GTAAACTGCAAGTTTACTGTCAAATATTAAATATTGTTTTTGTTTTTTGTTAAATAATTTCGTCATCTCTGATTATGCTCTTGGATCAATCAATACTGAAAATGTACCAACTTTTTTATTTTCATCCAAAAATATTTACTTTCAGATTCTTTATTTAATCTTTTTTTTTTTTTCTGATTTTTTGAAATTCGGATTTCTAATTTTCTAGTTATTTAGGGATTTCTTCGAAAAGTTTTGAAACTTTCTGCAATTTGCAAAATTCTGATTAGATTTTCAAAGTTTTTGGAATCATGATGGTTTTTTGAATTCTCAAAATTTTGGAATTGAAATTTAAAGTAATTTTATATTTTCGAAAAGATAATTAAAATAAAATATATTGTCCTCTTTCACATTTTATTTGTCTTTCTAGAGAATTTTTTTGTTTCAAAATAATCGTCACTTTAGGATTCCAATGAAGTATTTATTGTGTTTTTCTCAATTATGCCCTTACAATTCGTAAGAGAATTAATGGTAAAACATTTATGAAAGTAGTTTTTTAGTCATTTTATTATGATTTTTCTAGAATTCATGCACATTTATTACTTTTTTTAATATTTTGAATTAGCCTAAAACGACAATTAAAATGTGAAGGAGGGAGTATTATAATTCCAACCCATTCTTTAAAACTTTTCACCCCGAGCGGTATCCATTTTAATCTAAACATTACTTTTAGAAGCTTTTGTCGAGTAATATGTAATTTTTTTTAATATGAATTTATCTTTATTAACACTAGATATGTAGGCCCCGTTTGGTTGCCAAGATAAGCCATGATTAACTAAATAGTTGGACTTAATTTGATGTTTGGTATGTTCAATAAATTGCCGGGTCGACCCGCCAAAATTATATAATCATGGCTTATCTTGGCTTCTAATGAGTTTTTTTTTTGGACGTTTCAAGCTCTCATATGGGTCTCATTAGATTATTTAATCTTATCTTGCCAATCAAACGGGGCCTAAGAATATATTAAAGAAAATGGTGAATGACTAATATAATAAGATTACAAAATAAGATAATACTAATTTAAAAAAAAAAAAAGATAGAATTAAACGTCGGATCGAAATAATATGGCCTGGGGCCGTATCCATAATTCCATATGGGCCAATTTATTCGGCCTGAATATTTACAGCAACTGTACACATTTAACATCACGAAACCTTATGAATTTTAGATTTGATGAGGAAAGTATTGAAGAAAATCAAAGAACATGTAAAAAAAATGAAAGTTTTTGTCACAAAATTATTTTTGTTATTATCTGGAAGAACGTATAACAATAAAAACACATCTCCTTCAACAATTTCATCATCCAAGAATCAAAGTAAAAGAACTGAGAAATTAAAGCATCTATTCATGTACGCTGGTGGAACTTGATAGGGGCATGGAGAGGCCGTTGACCCCCCAAGAAAAAAGAATTTTTTTTTTTAGATATTTGGTACTAAATGTTTTGAATATTACTTTTGACCCCCCAAAGTCTTTGTAAATATTTATCTTAACCCATTAATTTTTTTGTTTTTTCTCCAAAATCTTATATAAATTATAGATAACATTAATATAAAATATAATTTATGAATATTACTTATTTTTGAATTTTTTTTATCTAACCCCTTAAAAAAAAGATGAGATCGTGCCATGAATCTCCGAAATATTTAGATAAATCATATTTAATATAAAATATAAATAAGATGGTTAAAACTTGTATTATTTTAAATAAAATTTATGAATATTACTTATTTTTGAATTTTTTTTATCTAACGCCTTAAAAAAAAAAGATGAGATCGTGCCATGAATCTCCGAAATATTAAGTGCAGTATATTATTAGAATAATTTGAATTAATTTAGAATTTTTTTTGATGATTAAGATATAAATTTAAATATATATATATATATATATATATATATATGATATTTTAATTAAAAATTAGTTATATAAACTTATTTTGCAATGTTTTGTGCACCTAAATTTTTTTTCGGGGCGCTGCTCCGAACCCCCAAAACCCCAAAAACATAGTTAGCCCCTCCTACATTTTGATCCTGGTTCCGCCCCTGTTCATATACGTTTGTGTAAGTTCACTATCTGATATGAAAGTGCATTTATTCATATAGTGATAATGTCTGAGAAATATATCACCATGTCATTTATTCGCATGAAGCTGCAAGACTGATCTGTTAGTAAAAATCTTTGTGAAACTTCAATAACTAAATCATTGAGGCCATAGAACTTATCATTAGCATGTTTGAGGAGATCAGAAGTAGATTAACAAGTAGAATTCAAACAAAAATATAATGGCTACAATGGAGAAGTACAAATGACCTATATGTTATATCTTCAAGAAGATCAACAAGTCTCAACCACTTGCAAGAAACTATTTTTCAAGATGGCATGGACAAGATGAGTTTGAGGTGGATTTTTATTATGATAGATCATGTTGTGGATCTAGCTACCAGAACATGCACATGTGACGTACTTCAATTGAATGGGTATTCTTGTCATCATGCATGGTCTTGCATTGCAGATAGTATATACAGAGTTGAGGATTATGTGGACTCGGATTATAGAAAAGAACATACTTGAAGATTTATTCATATATGATACATGCAGTCCCGGGACCGAAGGACTACATAAAGACCTCGTATGAGTCACTTGCAGCCCCAAGTTCAACAGGGAGGTTGGGATACCTAAATAAATGAGAAAGAGATGTCTAAATGGACTTCACAGGACTTCTTACAGAAAGAACCTCACACTTACTTTTAAAAACGATCTACGACAAGCCCATAATAAGGACTTATGTCAAAATCCTATAAATCCAGGATCTAAATTTTACAAGGTAAATGTAGCTTGCATAATCAATTCACTTGAATTTATGTTGAGGCATGCAATGATTATTAATTAAGTTATTTGTTGGCTTGCCCGTATATGAAAAAACCCTATAACTGAAGAAGTTCAAAATTCTCAAAGTGCTTTTCCTTCATATTCCAGTTAAAAACTTTCTTATGATCCATCAAACTTTGTTACACAAATGTATGCTCCAATATGCTCTATTGCACCAAAATCTGCTCCATCTAGCTCTGTTACACCTTCTTCTACTCAATCAAGTTATGTTGCACTTTCTTCTACTCCATCATAATATGGTGCTCCTCCTTCTACTCCATTGGGAAGAGTTAGAGTCAATCCAGTTTAACATATTACAATTGTAGAATCAATGAAAGCTTTATCAGCAACATCATAACAATTGTGAACAATGTTATGCATATAACCTATGAAAATTTCAACAGGATTAGATGATTAGATCATGTCGATTTTCTTTTTTGTCGGTCGCATTCGCTTTAGTAATAACTTCATCTAGCTCATCAATATCATCTGTCAAAGCTTGCTCAGCATATTCCTAACTTGGATATTGTACGGTCGTCCCAATGGGTTCCCAAGTTGCTCGGTACAGGTCACACCAAAGGACAAATTTACATTGACGAAACTCATAAGAAAAATACAACCTCCATTTTTTATGCTTTTGTTCCAGATTCAACCCCCCTTACCATATACATGATTTAAAATTGCATAAACAAATTATGGATTAAATTAATACCACATATCCATACACATATCTATACATGGCTTGCATTTTTTTTTCTCCTTGTCGCTCTGCTTGTGTGACAAGACATTATTCTCTAATTTGCTCTGAAAGTTGAAGGAAATGAACTGAAATAGGGAGAGACTAAATTCTGGAAAAAAACTCTAACAATCAACTAATTTATTGGAATAATAATATATGACCTTTTTTTTTGTTCTTCGATCAAGGAATTGAAGGGTGTTTTTGACTTTGGACATTGTAAAATACACCACCAGCCTCATAATCCATGCGTCCGCTACATGTAAAGTTGTCTAGGGGTTTTGTGGCTTTGACTAAATTTTATAGGCGTATATGTGCTAATTTATTTAACACGTGGTTTTTTCGACAATTAGTTATTATACAGGGGTGGTTTTGAAAAAAAAAACATAAAATTCAATAATGAATAGTTTTTTTGATTAAATACAAATTACACTATGTACTATCACTAGTGTCGCACCCTATACTACAAAGCGACAAAGTGGCCCCTGCCATCAAGCTATGTTAAAGAATTCGTCCATTTTCAAAGTTAACCGACCATTGCAATAGATGTTGGACATTTTCGGACGAAAATACTGTTCTGGTTGTGTATAAAAGGTGTGCATCTTTCTTTCTCTCTTTTATTCTCTTTTATTCATTTTTTTTTTTTTGAGTAATTCAAGTCATCACGAGGGGAAGTAAGGGAGGGGGACTCGAAGCCTAGACCTTTTACCCTATTGGTAAGGCTAGGTACCAACTCTCCTAATGAGGGTTGGTTTTTCTCTCTTTTATTCAATTTACCCAATTTTATTTTCCCCAACCTAAAATTTTCACCCAAATTTTCTGAAAAAAACTATTACTTTGATAATTATTTTTAATTTCCTTTTAAATTTATGAAATTTTGCAATTTTGTTCCCAACCTAAAAATATCACCTCAAAGTTATGAATTTATTTTATTCTGGGTACTATTTTCAAATACTTTTTAAATTTATGAATTTATAATTTCCTTTTCACCTAAAAAAATCTAGATTTAAAATGATTCATGTAATTCTAATTCTCAAAATTCATGCATTTCATTTTTTACGTCCAAACAATACATGATATATTTTTCTAGAACCACTTGCCCATGCAATTGGAGTGCTACGCAGTAAAGTAACAAAAATGGTCAAGTAATAAAGTCACAAAAGCCTAATCATATCATATAAATATAAGGATAAAAAGGTAATTACACTGCATAATCTAAGTCGTGATAGAGATTTGAGTGTTGACCGTTAAGTTGAAGGGTCACTTTGTTATATTTTGTAGTACCGGGCGGTATATCCAACACTACTGATAGTAGTATAGGGGTGCAATTTATTTTTAACCCTAGTTTTATCAAATGTTAATTTCTTGCGACTCGAGAAAGGATCCGAACCGTTAATCACCAGTATTGAATCTATAGCTAGGGTTTTAGGGTTCTTCGTTGAGATACAGTGTTTGATTTTGTTTCCGTTGCAGCACTTTGGCGAAAACATTGAAAATGGACAAGAGCATGCTTGGAGATCTCGATTCTCTTCCCGAGGAAGATAAGCTCCGTATGTCCGCCATGATCGACCAGCTTCAAGTCCGCGACAGGTTTCATTCTACACCCAACAAATTAATTTCAGTTTTTTTTTCTATTTTTCGATCTTTAATTATTCAACGAGAGCTAATTGAAAATTCATGTTTCGAATAGAAGTTTCCAAATCTGATTAATTGCATCTCAGCGTTGGAGTTGTGTGTATTTCAATCATTGAATCCCTAAAAAATGTTGTGTTACAGAAGATTGATTAATTGAATTCGATTAATTGAAATTCTTAAACTTTTGCCTGAGATAGTTAATTTTTTATTTCCTCCCACAGTTTGTAGTTTGATTCTCGTGATTTCTACCGTTGGGTGTCTGCCGTCGAGTCGAATTTATTTATAACAGGCCTTATTTAGTGGAAAATACAGAGTTCCTCTGTTTTATGGTTCCTTGAAGTTGGATCTTCAGTTTGCTACATTTTCGATTTGTCGATTTATTTGATTTTTATTTATAATGTAATTTCTTATCCCCTCCCATACTTGAATAAAAATAGTAGTTTAGGTATATCCCAGGATAGCAAATTGGACTATCTCATGAACATTTTCTTGTTCTTGCAATAAATCATGAACTATAACGAGAAGCTGTTTGTTGTGCATACAAGAGTTTCAAATGTCGAATATTTGGGTTTGCTGTAATATTCGATGCAATACGATGTATGCCAAGAATCTGAGTTGTTTGCTGTAAATCAATGGGAAACAATTGACACTTGAGAAATTTGCCAATCGATGTTGTTAAAGTCGTTTGAAACTATGAAGAGTTCCTGTCATGCTACGTCTCTGCAGTTAAAGTTGGCTATTGTGAAATTCTTACGATAAAAAGGGTCATCCCGTAACACTGCCAAATTTTCTATCGTCGATTTTGGTAAAAAGTTATCCTCTTTTTTTCTTTGCAGAGCTTTTACGAGTACAGCCACTCGTTTCTTCTTGCTGATTGCACCTTTTCTTTATGGAACTTGATATGTGACTGCGTTTAATTTAGTTGCACGATCATTGTGTATGTTAATCTTGAAATCGTGATAAAAATGCCGTTACGAGTTAATAATTGTTGTCTTTTTTTGTTTGAAGTACCTTATCGGGCACCATTATTATTTACTAGTGCTTACGAATGTTGAAATTGTTTGAGCTGGCACAGAGCTAGCCGATGCTTATTATGTATGTGTGCATAAATAATAATCCGAACTTGTCTATGTTATTACAGTTTAAGGATGTACAATTCATTGGTGGAGAGATGTTTCACCGACTGTGTGGAAAGTTTCCGGCGCAAAACCCTAGACAAGCAAGAGGAGACTTGTGTCCGTCGATGTGCTGAGAAGTTTCTGAAGCATTCGATGCGTGTTGGCATGAGATTTGCAGAGCTCAACCAAGGTGCCCCAACCCCAGATTAAGTCGTTTTTTTTCCACCTATATGAAGCAATCTTCGGTCAATGTGATTCCATTCCTCAGAAGTTCGATTTTTTATTCGGATTTTAGGAGAAACTGAAAAATAAGATGAAAGATGCTCCTCTTCTTGTTAAATCAGATATTTACTTTTCCTAGACGAAAAATGCATTTATTTTATTTCTTATCGAGATTGAAGGTGCAGTTGGAGGTTTGTTAAAAGACAACAACATTGTGCTGATCAAATTTGTCTTCACAGCTACATATTTTTGTTTCTCATTTCAAAGTTATCAGTATATATTATTTTCAAAAATCACAATCAACTTTAATCTTTCTTTTCAAATAATAGATTATGGCCTTGTTTGGGTGCGGAGATTAACCATGATTAACTAAAAAATTGGACTTTATTTGATGTTTGGATTCCAAATAAGTTGCTGGGGCGAAACACAAATATTATGTTATCATGGCTTATCTTATCTTATCTTTCAGTGAGTTTTTTTGTTCGATGTCCCGACTCTCGTAAAATAAATAGTTTTCTATTAGATTATTTAGTCTTATTTTGACAATCAAACAAGGCCGCCTGTAAGTAGTACACAAATCTCAACTATGAAACAAATCAACAATCTCATAAATATTATGTAATCATTCTCATGTTATAAATATTATCAAATAAGTGCTTATGAGTCTGTCTATTGGTTCCAAATGATAGCAAATGATATGATATATGAAGTTGAAATTCTAATACAAATTGACTTGTGCAAATCTCCCAAAAAAAGAAAAAATTTAACGAGGTTGTCGAACTAAGTAGATTTCTGCAAAGTGGAAACGAGATTAGAAGCAGCAAAAGCAGCAGAACCACCAACTACAGAGATCAAAGCAACGACAACCTGAAAACCGATTTCCCAAGAGTAATCTTCGGGCACCAAAAACACAAAAACAGGTCCTAAAGCAAGCAAAGCCAAGCTCAGGCTTAAGAGACTCGAAGGTGTTCCTGGATCTGTAGCTGCTGAGAGCACCCCGAATTCTTCGGCTTTAGAGAGAAGCCCGAGCCTCTCTATCACCGACAAAGACAATCCCGAATTCTCGGCAGCCGATAAGAGGCCGGCTCTCTCGGCTTTGCTTAGCAGCCTCAGCTGCTCCACCCTCGTTAGCAGCTTCACTTGCTGATTCGATGATGCGCTCTGTAATTATATATTGTTTCATAATTTAATTGATTTTGAAAAAAAAAAAAAACTGTAAACGAATATATAATAAATACCTAAAACGGTACAAATTATTGCAATCCTACAAAGGCAACATGTTGATACGGAGATGGAGAGTATAATGTGTCGAATGCGCTAATTGCGACATCAATCACACTATAACTAATCAACTAATGATAGTGCACGATATTAATTGCACTTATGAACGATCTAAACTCGTATTTGAATATAATTCGTCACACTCTCTCCTGTACAACATTTTGCATGAATGATAAAAAAAGTTCAACTAGACTATTAATTTGGTTTTTAGGATATTAAACATTGAGTAAATTAGTGAAATGCACACAATGGAGGTTATACTAATAACTAATAAATAATATATATGGTTCAGATAACATACACCCAAGATTTATTAGGATGATTTAAAATAAATCAGTACCTGTGTGGGGTCACACATTTCATCATGTTAATTAGTAATGCCATTTCACACACACACACACACACACACACATATATATATCGTATACAGCAGATGCACACAATTAAGATTTAAGGGCAGAAAAAAAATTGTGTAATACAGAGAATGAAAGAAGGGAATTAGTTGTGGTACCTTTTTGGAGGTGACAGCAGTTCTGGTGGAAGGAGGTTTTTGGGCAGCAGCCATGGATCTGATGAGAAGAGGCGAATATGCTTTTGCTGCCATGGCCATTTCTTCAGCTCTGCCTTTTCTTTTCTTTGATATTTCTGGAAGGTGAAGAAAGAAACACTGCTTCACACTTGACAGTTTGACACACACAATAGAGAGCTTTATCAATTTGAGTGGACCAAAATATATCTCGTGGCGTTACTTGTTCCTCCCACCCCGTCTTTTAATTTCCACGTGGCTTCACTTGCTTGGTCTACTTTTTGCTGAGACTGATGACAATTGCTTCTTTTTTTCTTTTTTTTTGGGTAAATTATGAAAAACCCCATGAATTTAGGTTAAATTACGAAAATACCCTCACATATCCGTACTTACCAAGTTTCTCTTGATGTTTGTTTCCGTCTTAAACCGACTTCCTTACGGTGTGATTTTTTCACGGAATCTATTTAACTTCAGTTAATATTGTTGGATATTTAACTTTGAGTCAAATATAGTTTAATTGGTTTGACTTTCTTAAATCAATTTTTATATTTCCAAAATTATTATTATTATAAGATTTATTATTTTAATTCGGATTTATTATCTAAGATTAGTGGGCGGTTATTTTCAGCTTAGTCCGCAGTTATTTAAGCACATGTTTAATTAATTCACTAACCCATTATCCCACTAACCCATTATCTCTCATAGTGTGTTAATTTCGTGCAGGGCAATGAGCTCTCGGACTCTATAAATAGGAGAAGAACTCAGTTCATTTCTCATCTTTCCTGCAGAGAGTTGAGGGCACAGAGTTGCGGGTGTTGGCCACACCTTCGCGAACACCCTACCTTCTTTATGGATTTCACACTGCAGAATTGAGTCACTTGTGTATTCAATCTCATTGAATATTGATTTCCATTCCTAGTGTATCATTAAGTGCTTTTGTACTAGATACTAAGAATTGGTTTACGAAGAAATTTCTTCATAGAAGAGATAGAAGAGAAGATGGTGGCTTCTCATTTGTATTCTTTTGAATACTATTTTATATTCCTAGAGTGCTTTTGTACTAGATACTAGGAATTGGTTTACGAATAAATCAACTTGTGATTTCTTCTTAGAAGAGAAGACGGTGGCTTCTCATTTGTATTCTTTTAAATACTATTTTTGGCCCACGAAGGCTCAATCCACACACTTGTGCATAATGATTTAAAAACTTGTGTCATTTATATTCCGCTGCATAATCTTTCTCAACACGAGTTTTTGTTTGTTTCAAAGAAATCTCTGATTTTATATCGATTTATATTATTTTAACGAATTCGAAGGCACTAAATTTCTTTCAATTAGCATCAAGAGCCTACACTTGACGTATACTAAGTGTTGGATCTTGTGGTTATTTTTGCAATGCACGAATTCGTTATGGAGATTCAAGATGAAGTGGACGATTTGATATATATGTCACATGCACATGCTGAAGATGTACCAGACAAGGACAAGTCTACTACATCATCTATCTCAAGACCAGTCAATAGTAATGGAAGTGTTGCTCCAAGTGCCACAACACTATGAGCAACACTCTGTCCAGTTTCAACAGACACGAATGAATCTGATTCAGATACATATGATCAAAGGAAAAATGTGTGTGGAAAAGAGCCATCTAGCATAATGCAAAAGAATCATCCCACCTCACAAGTTGATGGAAATTTCTTTAATAAAATGCGCACAAGGGGTAAGAAAAAAGGTAAATTCTTTCAAAGAGATGGTAAAATTGACTTCTTTATCCACCTTATGTGTTGATTATGATGCATCATGTTTTGTTTCCTCCATTGAACCTAAGAATATCGCAGAAGCATTAATAGATGACTTATGGATTAATGTTATGCATGAGGAACTTAATCAGTTTGTTAGAAATGATTGTGGCCTATCTAATGATATCTTGATCATGTATTGTGATAATTCTAGTGTCATTGATATTACCAAAAATCTTGTCCAACACTCACGGACTAAGCATACTGATATTAAGCATCATTTTATCCGTGATATGTTGAGAAGAAAAATATATGCTTGAAATATATATTTACAGAAAATCAATTAGCAGATATTTTTACTACAATACGTGACTATGATAGATTTTCTACTCTTAGAAGATATCTTGGCATGGCACTACGTAGAGTGTTCTATTGCATGTTACAGCACTTCCAAGAACATTTAACACTGTAACATGATCGCTTTGAGTTTTCATCAGTATTGACTTCTCTGAGGTTTGGATATTGGGCTTATATTTCTTGTACCTGTGACGATCCTAGTGCAACAGGTAAAAAAAAAATCACTATGGCTCCTCTGTCTTTTCCCAAAAGCATGAGCCAAACTCCTCTATTTTGATAGTTGAAAAGAGTAACTGAGGAATCTTTCAAACTGACCATTGATCATGTTCCATGTGGAAATTCTAAATTTGAAAATAAGAGTAGTGAATTAAATAAAACAAAAAACAAAAAAGACTGTTGCACAATAAAAAAGATAAAGGATTCTAAATAAGAGTACATAAATTAATAAGCCCTAAATTGCCATTTCTTAGTGCTGCCAATATTTGTGATAGCTCATGTGTTTTTTTATCTCCAAGATTTTCAAACTAATATTTCTTGCAAGTAGTGAGATTTTCATATATCACGATTTTAAATTTTTCTTAATATTTATTTTGATAAAAATCGTGAATGTTGGCCCTTAATTTTAATTTTGGCACTTCCATTATCATAGTTGTTGATTAAAGTGTATTAATTTGGGCTATTAAGTATTTTGCTCTGCTGAATTTTTAATTGATCTACTAATTATTTTGAATGATTGCAATATTGGAGTTAGCCCTTTCTGATAAAAAAAAAGGAGATGATGATGGAACTGATTCTAGCAATGGTTTGAGTGTTGAACTTTAAATGAACTGCTGCATTTATTTTTTAAGTCTCCTTTGCTATTTTAGAACTTCCCAGTATCTCAATATATCCTATTAAGTTGAACATTATATGTGATCGGATATTCAGAGGGAGTTTGAAGATTCGAAGTTTTTAATGCAGGGGAGCTCAAATTATTTTATGCAGGGGGAATTGATGAAAAATTGAGTTTTGATCAGAAAGTCAAAAAATGAGGAGATTGTTGAATATCTGACTTTGAATCAAATATAATTTAATTGTTTGACTTTCTTAAATCAATTTTTACTGTTTTTTAAATTATTATTATAGGATTTATTGTGTAAATCGAATTTATTATTTAAGATTAGTGGGCGGTTATTTTCAGCTTATTGGGTGTTATTTAAGTACATATTTAATTAATCCACTAACCCATTATCCCACTAACTCATTATCTCTCCTAACGTGTTCATTTCGTGCAGGGCAAGGAGTTCTCGGACTCTATAAATAGGAGAAGAACTTATTTTATTTCTCGCCTTTTTCTGCAGATAGTTGAGAGCACAGAGTTGTGGGTGTTGGCAATACCTTCACCAACACCCTGCTTTCTTTATGGATTTCTCGCTGCATAATTGATTTACTTCTGTATTCAATCTCATTGAATACTGATTTGTATTCCTAGTGTATCATTAAGTACTTTTGTACTAGATACTAGGAATTGGTTTATGAAGAAATCGTCTTAGCTTGCGATTTCTTCGTAGAAGAGAAGATGGTGCCTTCTCATATAAGAGAAGATGGTGGCTTCTCATTTGTATTCTTTTGAATATTGTTTTGTATTCCTAGAGTATTTTTGTACTAGATACTAGGAATTGGTTTACGAAGAAATCATCTTGCGAACTCTTCGTGGAAGAGAAGATAGTGGCTTCTCATTTGTATTCTTTGAAGTACTGTTTTGTATTCCTAGAGTGCTTTTGTACTAGATACTAGGAATTGGTATACGAAGAAATTATCTTACGATTTCTTCATAGAAGAGAAGATGGTGGCTTATCATAGAAGAGAAGATGGTGGTTTCTCATTTGTATTCTTTTGAATACTATTTTGTATTCCTATAGTGCTTTATACTAGATACTAGGGAAATGTTTGGAAGCGTTTTGGAACTTATTTTGATTTCATTTTGAAGAAATGTGTTTTGGGGAAATAATTTGAGAATGAAAGTAATGTTTGTTTATGTTTTGGAAGGAGATAAAATACACTGTAGCAGTCACAACATGTTTAAAAATATTAGAAAAAGGTATTTCAGAAGAAAAAATTGAAAGATGAAGTGATATTTTTTTGTTTTTTAGTGAAGACATTTTCTACTGTAGCAGTCACATCATGTCTGAAGAGAGAGAAACTTTTGAGATTGTTTTGAGAAAATTATTTGAGAAGTGTAATAAATATAATTTTGTTTTGGGGAATCAATGAAAACAAAATATAAATGTTACCAAACATTGCCTAGGAATTGGTTTACGAAGAAATCAACTTGTGATTTCTTCTTAGTAGAGAAGCTGGTGGCTTCTCATTTAAAAGAGAAGATGGTGACTTCTCATTTGTATTCTTTTGAATACTATTTTTGGCCCATGAAGGCTCCATCCACAAGTTATATACTTGTGGATAATGATTTAAAAACTTGTGTCATTTATATTCCGCTGCATAATCTTTCTCAACATGAGTTTCTGTTTGTTTCAAAAAAAAATCTGATTTTATATCGATTTATATTATTTTAAAGAATTCGGAGGCATTAAATTTCTTTCAAATATTTATTCCCGAAAAATGTCAATTTTACATTTGCAAGCGAGACATTTGTTTATGCTACATTTTAAAGACATCAGATGGGTAATGGTGTATTAAAATGTTGTGAATATTTTATTTAATAAAAAGTAAAGATTTCATGTAAAGCCCTCATAAGGGAAATTTTGGCCTTTAAAAAGTAGCATAAAGAAATGTCACGTCCGCAAAGAATTGATATTTTTTAGAAAATGTTAACCGAAATTAAAAAGATTCCATGAAAAATTACACCGTAAAAGAGTCGGTGCAAGACACAAACAAACATCGATGGAATTTTAATAACAACGTATAGGTGTGCCAGTTATCTATAATTTAGCCTAAGTTCAAGTTTTTTTTCGTAATTTACCCTTTTTCCTTCCTTTATAAACTCAGGTGCGACCTCTTAAGTGAGTGGCAAGCATATATACAAGAGTAATCCCTCAGCTATATAGTTCTCTCTTTAAATATTTTTTCTTTTTCTTTTTTGTATAT